TATATTTATATATATATATATATATATATATATATATATATATATATATATATATATATATTTAAATGTCTAGATGGTGAGATTATATTGTAATAAACTTGTGAGTGTGTTAAATACATTAAAAAGCTATTCGTACAGACAATTACTTGAATACACCTCTTCTGTGAGGGGCACGTTTACATTTTTTTATATTATTTGTATAATACAAAAATGTGTGCAGATAACCGTCCAGAGATATGTATTATTTATTTATTTATTTATTTATTTAAGTGTTGATATTTTGTTAGCCAAATTGGTGTGGTGTTGTCATGTGACAAAAAAAAAAGATATCACAAAGAGGACTTCTATAGACCCTCGTGACAGTGTCATGAACTTTTATTTATTTATTTATTTAAAAAAAATATTTATCCTGTATTCAAAGGATAAGGAGAAGGTTTTACTAGTTTTTACTTTATGCTTAGACATTTTGGAGCCAATAAATCAACACTCTTTTTAGAAAATGCTAAAATGCTAAATGTAAATATGTTTTTTTTTCCTCTTCAAAAATGTATAAAACCAAAATGATAACAAATATGACAATTATGCATTTTTTAAACAGTTCTCCTTTCCATCTTCTCTGGAATTCGTATTTTGCACGAACCCTATAGATTTATCGTGGAGTAACAGAGAGTAAAGCAGCGTCGATGATGCCCCTGTTCGTGGTGCTGAAATCCCCCCGCGCTCTCCCTCCCTCCCTCCACCCATCCCTCTCTATCCCTCCCTCTCTCCCTCTCTCTCTGCTCCTCTCTCACACGCACAAAATCCTCTGTCATGGCGTCTTCCAACAATGTTACTCCCACCAACTGTAGCTGGTGGCCCATATCAGCTATGGATGAAGATGGCAAAATCACAGACGGAGAGGAGAGTCACGAGCCCACGATAGAACACAAGCCATTCTCCAAAGACAGGCTCGTTCTGTACCACTGGACTCAGTCCTTCAGCTCTCAAAAGGTAAGAAAACACAGTATGAAAATGGTGGGAGAATCTATGCAGTGGGACAAATAATGTCAGTCAGATAATATTGCGCTTTCTCTGGGTGGATGCGTGTTTTATTGGCCTTACCTGTCTGTTCTGTTGCGTCCTTTATGAAGACATTACGAAACCTCAGCAGAAGATGGAACATTTTGACTTGACTAGCTTCAAGTCCACTGCAGCTCAACATCATCGACCAGTTACATGCATAGTGCCTATCAGATGGATTTGGGAGAAAAATAAATAGCAGATGTAACTGTTTATAACGGGGTTAAGGCTGTCGTTGTAGAGTTGTGTGTTGCTTTGCTCTGGAGGATGATGGCACTCTAAATTATTCATTAAAATGAGGTAGCTTTGTGAAAAACAAACGGTGATTTCGTATTCTGCTGTCAGTTGCTTCGTGCACATCTTTAGCCAGTGTCATTTTACGAAAAGATGCCTTTCGTGTCTCTCATGAATGTGTAAACCATGACTTTAACAATTAAAACTGACTCTCGACTTTTGCTGTGTATTATTATAGGCGTTTTAAAAAAAAATTGTACGTTTAATTATTTTTCCAACTTCTCCCTGCTGTATTAGCAAATGTGCATAATTAGATTAAAAAACATATATACTATATGTACTATAATAATAATGTTATATATTATAAATGTTTCAAAATGATATATACACTGAAATTCATTTAATGATTATTAAACAGATACAGTGTTGACAAAAACACAAGTGATGATTCTTTTATTAAATACAATTTTCTTTATTTTATGTATGTGTGTGTGTGTGTGTGCATTTTAATATAATATGTATGACAAACATTTCACACATTTACACAAACACACACTATTATATATATAGAGAGAGAGAGAGAGAGAGAGAGAGAGAGAGAGGCATATATATTAAAATGTGCATACTTATATTCATATATACTTATGCATATATTTGAATGCATTCAAAACTTACATTAACACAGAAATTGATTTGAATGTTTATTAAATAGATATAGTGTTGACGAAAACCACTGGTGATGATTCTTTTATTTTACATTTTTCTAATTGAATACAATTTTCTTTATGACAGATTACTGAATATATGCAGTTTAATATAATATTTATGACAAATAAATACAACATTTCAAACATTTCCACAAGCACACTATATATATATATATATATATATATATATATATATATACATACACACACATACATACAGTATATTATAATATTATGCGTTAAACTGTCTTTCTGTTTTGTCTAAGCTGTCTTGCATTCTTATATTATGCATTAAACGGTCTTTCTAGAAAACACCTTGTAGTGTCATGACCTTGAGCGCAAGGCTAGTAATGGCTAAATGGCTAAATATGACTGTCAACCCTTTTTTTAAAGGTGTTGCAATATTCCAATGTATAGTAAAATGTTAAATGTAGTGTGAGATGCACTACATAATGCACTTTATTAAAACTAAGACATTCTTTGTCTGATAAAATGTTTATTGTAATATGAAACTTCTTATAAAAATCACTGATTCACAATGAAAAAGGCCTCATTATTTGGTGGAATGTCCCACCAGGCCTCAGCCTCATGTTTGTTGTGCAAGAGACGCTTCTCTCTACAGTCAGTCTGCTGCTGGTGTTTACATGATTTGAATGAATGTCACGTGTTACCTAAGCTAAACCTGACTCCTCACTACAATATTAAATTGACCAAAACATTGGTAAGGCTCAGATTCATTTTGCTGATTACAGTAGTTACAGACTTGCATGGAAAGCTGAGCAAAAAATCAATGACCTGCCAAAATTCATCTCGTATTTACTTACCAGCAGACTGAGAAATACAGTTAAACATTGCAAAGCTCGACATTATCGAGTGTGTTTTCTTTCGAAGGCTCCTGAGAAATTCGTTTTTGACGGATTTTTATAGAAATATTAATTGGAGAACATTTACTAGGAATGAGCATCAAAACAATCATGTCATCTCAGAAAATAGATTGGTGCTGACCTTTCAATATCCTTGTCTTGTGCCTTTGTTTTGGTCATGATTTGAATGAATGTCACG